TGATGCTATGGATCTTGAGATTGTCAAGGCATAGTGCTTAATAGAATGCTATTGTGGTTTATTTGATGGTTCATACTCATGTCTTGATGGATTGTGCCTCTCCCTTCGTTTATTGAGTTTAACTTTCATGCCCTTAGCTTAGTTGGAGTGTAGTTGCCTTAGTTGTTAGATGGGAGGACAATCCATGTTTGTTGTTTGATGTTCCATGCTTATGAATGCAAGTAGTATTATTCTCTAACCATGTGATGTGTTTGGATTGTGAGCTTAAAGGAAGGATTAATGGCTTAGTTTGATGTATTGTGCTATTCACTAGGTTGCTTAGACAATATATGCTTAATTGGTCATCTATGTTGGTTGAAACAATCAATCACACACTCTCAAATTACAACACATGTTTCCCCTCATTAATTATACATTGAATGTCTAGAATGGTGATGTTTAGTGGTGACCTCTAAACCCCAAGACCTCACTTTCTTGTTTTCTCTAAATTTCATTTAAATTGCTTATTCTACATTGAACTTGTTTAGTTTAGTTTGTAGTCTAATCAACCAAACACACCATCTTTTAATCACTTGACCTACTAACCCTATACATTGTTTCCATTGCAAGCACGCCTATAATCCCTTGGGACGATCCCTACTCGCCCTAGCTATATTTTTAGTTAGAGGTATTAGTGGCTTTTATAAATTTAAAACTTGGCCACATTGCACACTTACACTCTTAGTGCACATCTTTAGACGTTGGTGTGACAACACACCACATGACTTGTTCTAGTGTCTTACATTCTACTTCCAATTGTCCCCATGGACATGTGCAAAGTGAGAATCATGAACAAGTGAATGTTGCATTTGTCAACCAAGGGAATAATCCCTATGGCACACATTACAATCTCGGGTGGAGGAACCATCCAAACTTCTCTTGGAAAAGCCAAGGGGAAGGCTCAAACCCTCCCCAAAGTGGTTTTCAAGGCAAGTATGTTCCGCCCCTAATGCAAAGCCAAGGTTCCTAAGGTTATAGATCATCTTTATAATCTTCACATGGAAACTAATTTTCTAACTCTCATTTTCCTAATCAATCATCTTATTCTCAAGGAAATTCTAAGAGTCCCACTTTTGTGGAAAAACTATTGACCGCTTTAGGTACTTTGGAGGCAAATACCCAATTACTTCATTCTCATTCCCAATCCATTGCTAAGCTAGAAACCCAAGTTGGGTAAATAACAAGTACATTCAATGCTAGGGAAAAAGGGAAAATGCCTTTGAATCCACCAAAGCAACAATTTATTGTGGAGACCAATTCCTCATCGGAAAGTCCTACAATTGAGCATGTAAATGCGGTGACAACCTTGAGAAGTAGAAAAATTGTTGACAATCAAGTTAGAGTTCATAATGAAGAGAGTGAACCGGTGTAACCAAAAGTTAACACCCGTCCCGTTTCACTTTCTATTCCTTTTATTGCATATGCATGAACCTTTTGTTGAGAAGGTTTTGAAAGATGATTTGAAAAATTCTTGTGTTGAAAGTGATTCCAAAAATGATTTTGAAAAAGATTTTGAGCCAAAGGCTCCATTTCTGGATGGCTTAAAAGGATCCATTTCTCTTGAAAAGCAAAAGACCAAGGCCAATGAAATAATTGAAATGTTTAGGTAAGTGAAGATTCATCTTCCTCTCTTGGATGCAATTAAATAAATTTCAGCTTATGCCAAATTCTTGAAAGATCTTTGTACCCAAAAGAGGATGAACAAGAGCCAAGCACCAAAGAAAGATGTCTTGATTGACCAAGTAAGCTCCATTCTGCAACACAACACTCTTCTAAAATTTAAGGACCCCTGTTCACCTACTACTTCTTGCATCATTGGTGATCATGTCATTAACTAGGCTCTTCTTAATTTAGGAGCAAGTGTTAATCTTCTTCCTGATTCAGTGTATGTTCAATTGGGCTTAAGTGACTTAAAACTAACGTTGGTAGTTTTGCAACTAGCTAACCGATCCATCAAAAAGTCCCGAGGTATTATTGAGGATGTATTGATTAAAATTGATAAATTCTTTTTCCCGGTTGATTTCGTTGTCATTGACACGGAACCAGTCCCAAATGCCAAATTCCTGTTATCCTAGGTCATCCCTTCTTGGTAACCGTTAATGCCAACATCAATTGTAGGACGGGGATAATAAAAATTTCATTTGGGCATATGAAGGTGAAATTGAACATATTCAATCCAACCCCGAGTTCAATGGACAAGCATAAAGAAGTGTGTGTTATGGAAAAGTGTTTTGAAAATGAAATTGAAAATTTGAGTCTTTGCTTGTGATGCGACCCGAGCGTGTGCACAAAATAATGCACAACACTTTAGGTTTAAAAATAATGTCAAGTGGGCATCATATTTTAAAATTTATAAAACCACTAAACACTTATACTATGGAGTATAAAGCGAGTAGGGATCTTCCCAAGGGATTGAACACGTGTTGGGATTAAACTTGGTTTTAAAGTTAATTAGATTGTGAAAGAAAGAAATAGAGAGAGAGAGTTTGAGAGAAAAATATTTTGGTGAAATAATTAAACTAGAGTTCAATCGAAAGCATGGAAATGGAAATGGAAATGATAATGCAAGTAAATTAAATTAAATTAAACTAAGAATTAAAGAGATATGAAGAGAGTCTTAGGGTTAGGATTCACCACTAAGCTCATGCAATTAACCAGCTTTCAATTAATGGGGAATTCATTAGTGTAATTATAGATGTGGTCACATTATCATCACAAATCATAATTGTAAGCATAAATTATCAACATCAAGAATGAATTATCTACCTAATGACAATTAAACTAAAGTGTAGAACCCATTCAAGACTACGTCATAACCCACCATACACATTCACAAATGTATCCGATAAGAGTACACATCATTCAAGAAGATAATACTAATTGTAATTAGAAGTATGGATTAATATAATCAAGCACAAATTGCCTACTTTACTACAGTTAACTAATGACAATAAGCTAATTTGTAGAACAACCCATCAAGATTAAGCATTTATCCATCAAATTAATTGACAATTGTATCAACTAAGTATCATGCTATGTCCATCACTAGACACAATTAAAAAAAGTATCTAGTGTAGAGTATAATTCTAAATCAATCACACATAGACATGCAATTTTCATACATAATCAATGGAAGAATTAATTTTCAATCATCTAATGAAAACTAAAATACCTAATTAATCATATATAGACATACAATCAACTAGAGATTTTAATGGAAGAATTTATCAATACAAGCCTTAATTTGTCAAATCAAGCATGTATATATAAAGAAATCACAAGGCCATATAGTTAATTACAACATATTAATTCCCCAAGAAAAGAAATACAAAGGTTTAGGTTACATGAACTTAGAGCTCATCCAAGCCCTAAATGAAGAACTAGCTTATGGAGGAGATGGTCATGGTGTCAACAAGCCCAATCCCCATCTTTTGGCTCCTTCTTCTTCTTCTTCTTTCAATTGTAGACAGAGTCTCTGTAAAATGTTCTTCCAACCCAAGCTTTCTCCTTTTTCCAAAGAGAACATAATATCACGGTACAGAAAATAAAACTTAATAATCAAATCATAAAACTCCTCCTACAATGGGTCTTTGTTTTTCCTTTAATACCTACATTATTGGAGGCCCATAGTTCACAAAATAAGCCCTCACAAGAAAATCCCGTAGCCAAGTAAAAGCTAAATCCCGCAATACTGCCAGGGGCTAGGGGATCGATCCCCAGGGGGTATTTTTTTGCACCTTTCTGCCAATAGTGGGGGATCGATCCCCCAATATTAGAAATCTCTTTTAAGTCCCGTTTAACTCCATTTTGGCCCCGGCCTTAATCGGTTTGCTTCTTGATCGTTGGGAACATCATCAAAGGCTCGGAAAAAGGTAGAATTGACCGCTTTTGAAGGATAAGTGCACTATACGAATAATGGGCTACGGCCTCTTTTTGCCATTTTCTAAGCTTTTTCCAATTGTCTTTGCTTGTCTCCAAAAAGGCTTTAATGAACCGAAATTAGTTCGTTTGAACTTTATTTACCTGAAATTGACAAAAATATAAATTAGAACTAAAACATGAAAATAAGATAGATGTAAGGACTAAAATACCCTAATTTAGGTGCTGAAATGTGCAACATTTAAGCACTTATCACGCCCCCAAACTTAGATATTGCTAGTCCCTAGCAATGAACTACAGTATGAAAATAAAACAAATATATATACAACTATAAACTAATAAAGCAAATAAAGATAACACCACTTTCGTAGGGATCACAGTTGTATTTAGCATATGCAACAAGCCTTTTAAATCTTAGGTTACCCCTAGTGGACGAGTGAAGTCTCGTGAGGGTTTCTAGAAATAGTACCCACAAACATCAACAACTCTTTCTTACTTGAGAAGCAACGACACATATCAAACAAGTGTTGAAAATAGCCTACTTCAAGTATGCAAATTTCTGCCATTTCTAAGCTATTCATAACATTTCAACATAATGTAAGCAAAAGTGGTCCTCCACACATCAAACAAGTTAATCATGCAAATTGAATCAATTCTATCATCCTTTTTGAGTGAACCGGCATCAAAATGTGTTGCTATCCTAGCGAATCAAAGTAATAGTATAGTCTTACCCTCAAACTAACATACAAATATAGTACCAATCATCAAGACATTGAATGAACCTTGTTATTCAATCAAACATTTCTTTTTCTTTTTTTTATTGATGTCATTTTTTATTTTATTTTATTTTATTATGTATGACCATGTGCAATGTCCAAGTTCATTAAGCTCTCTAATCACCCCATGTAACAAGCGTTGATCCAACGATTTCCAAACCAAATAGTCTTGGGGCGTTAAGTGTAAAGACACTCTTAAGGGCGTAATGACATGGAATGGTTAGGCTACGAACTCAACCTAATCATACATCTTACATTCTTTCCTTATCTTCCTTTTTAATCAATTGACATGTTGAAAGAATGCAGTTTTTTTTTTCTTTTTTTTTTTTTAATTTTTGTTCCTCACCTTTGGTGAGTGCTTTTATTTCTTTTCTTTGTAAGGTCATTTTATCAAGAATGAAAGCTTTCAAAGCATACTAGCTCAATTGGGATAAACCAAGACAATAATCATCTAAGCATGTACCCCACAAATTGAATGTTAGTGTGCGCAAGTGCAAGTGTAGAATTCTAGAATCAACTCTTAAAGCATTTTCAACTAACAAGATGATGTGTACCACAAGAGCAAACATGATATCAAAAATTAAAAATTTACCCCTAAATGACATCCTAGAACGTACAAGAAGTATTAGACTCTAACAGCTTACCTTTCAAAGGCTCTATACTTCAAAAATTCAAAATCATTGCCAAACACATCTTAAATCGCATCATGCATTCAAAGCTCGACTGAAAATAGAATGAAGTATGATGTCCTTACCCCCAAACTTAAACTATACATTATTCTCAATGTGCAATGAGAATGATGAAAAATGATGGAAAGAGTATACCATGATGGCAAAGATGAAGAAGTCTGGCAAATATCCAGTAGAAAAGAGGTCTCCCCCAAACTTGGATTCGAAAACCTACTAAAAAACCACACTAACAACTCACATCAAATATCAAATGGGATAAGAATCATACACTCTAAACAATATAAAATATGATGTAAAGATATATAAGATGAAGTCCTTGAAACAAAGATGAGAACATGCATGCAGAGGGGTATAATGGTAACACCAATTTTTGATTTTTGATTCTTTTTTTTTTTTTACATTAATTAAAATAAACAAAGAAAAAGAACATATATATACAACTTACAAAATTAATTAAAATAAACAAAGAAAAAGAACATATATATACAATCTACAAAATAAAAAAAATAAAAAAAAATTGAGCTAAGTTTAACGTCTCTAGCAAGACAGAATGCAACTTTGAAATTTATTTATTTATTTTTATTTTGTTATTTATTTTAAAAGAAATAAAGAAATAAATAATAATAATAATAAAAACTATTGCAAAATCTACTAAATTGGTTCTTTTTTTTAATTGTTTTTTTTTAATTTATTTATTTTGTTGTTATGTATTTTTACGGCACTGTCAGATCTGCAAATAAATCAACAAAAGTCAACAACCAAACTTCCCCTATTTTTTTTATTTTTTTTTTAATCAACAATTCAATTTTTATTTATTTTTGTTTTTATTATTATTATTATTTTTTTTTTGAAATCATCAATTCAACTTTTTTTTTTTTGTTTTTAATCATCAATGCAAGTTTGTTGTTATTTATTTATTTATTTTTAATCATCAATTCAACACCTTTTTTTTTTTTTTTTTTTTTTAAAGCATCAATGTATCAGGAAAACCAGCCGGAATCGCTGAAGAAACCGGCGATTCACAAGCTTGCCGGAAGAACCCGCAACCTAGCAGCAATGCCGGAGAAGAACCAGCTGCGACGCCGGAGAACCAGCCGCGATCCGGAGAAGAAAGACCCAGAAGCTCGCCGGAAGGAAAACCAGCTGCGACGCCGTTGGACGAACCAACCGCAAACGCCAGAGAACACGGTGATTCAGAAACTCGCCGGAAGAAGCCAGCGATGCAGAAACTCACCGGAAGGAACGGCGATGCAAAAAAATAAGGGCGAAGCAAACGGCGCTGGAATTTGTCACCTTTATCACCGCGGAAGAGAAGAGCGAACAGTGAGGAGCAAACCAAGAAATTGGGATTGGAGGTTTGGGTGATGAGAGAAGTAAAGATTTACAACTGAACCTAAACTGGGTGATGAGATTTAGGTGATGAGAGAAGTGAGGGCTAAAAACAAAAGGGATCGACAATTTTTAGGCAAAAATTTCTTTTTCGCTGTGTAATGAGAAAGTCTAAACACAGGTAAAATGGGATCAATCCACATTAATGGGCGATCGATCCACTTGGGCATTTTTTTTGGGTTGCTCTCTGCCAAGAATGGGATTGATCTCCCAGCCATTTTGGGGATCAATCTTCTTCTTCTTCTTCTTCTTCTTCTTCTTCTTCTTTTTTTATTTTTTTATTTTTTTTATTTTTTTATTTTTTATTTTTTTAAGTAAAACTAAAAATACTATATACACATACAATGTAGATAAAATAAAATAAAATATAGATAAAATAAAATAATAATAATAATAATAATAATAAATAAAATTGAAATAAAATCACTTACCAACTTATACTAACTAGTATTATTTTTTTTATTTTTTTATTTTTATTTAAGCAAAACTAAAAAGAAAAATATATATATTAAAATGAAATATATAAAATAAAATAAAAATAAAAATAAAAACAAAAACAAAAACAATAATACTAGAAAGTAAAATAAAATCAAATACCAACCTAAACTACCCATTACAACAATTTTTTTTATTTTGTTATTTATTATTATTTTTTTTCTTTTTGAATTTAAAAGTGCAAAAATGTACAAAAGTAAAAGAAAATAAAAGAAGAAAATAAAATGCAATTTTTTTTTTTTGAAAGCCCTACGAAAACTAGTGTTTAACGTTTCTAGCAAAACGTTGGGGCAACTCACTAAGAATAAAAAACCGGATATAAGACATCCTCATTGATCCGTTTATTTATTTTTCCCAATGGATCTTCTTTCACAACAATGAATACATCTCCCAAAAGAATGATTTGGAAAGAAATGATGGAAGATGCAATTTGTTTCCTTTCATCCAAAGTCTTGAAAATAAAGTCTATAATGAGCGGCCTTGCACTTGACAAGGCAATGTTTTTCAAATACTCGGTTAGATTATTAGGAAACTCAATCTCTTCATCCTTTTTATCAATTTCCACATTGATCACTTTTTCCTCATTAACTAAGGTTGCCTCAATGACTTCATGCTCAGTATTACAAGGAATGTCCTCATAAATTGGATTGGCCATTGGCGAACTTGCCACTTCTTTCTCTTCTTGATAAGAAAGAGTACTTGCAATTGGAGGAAGAGGTTCTTTTGAGTTTTTCCATGGCGAGAAGTCTAAGATGGCCATGAAGTCCATTAAAGAATTCACTTCATATATGAAGCTTTCAATGTCAAATGCGTCTATATTAAAGTGAGATAGGCATGCCTCAAAAGGATCTTCAGAAGGAATGGCTTCTTCAACAAGTTCATCCAAGACATTCACCATAAAACACTCGCCTTCATCGATGGGATGTTGGCTCGTGTTGAACACATTAAGCTTAACCATCATATTGCCAAAAGAGATGTCCATAATGTCGAACCTACAATTGATTGTCGCATTAGCGGTGGCAAGGAATGGTCTTCCTAAGATTATTGGAATATAATTGGTAGAATTAGGAACTGGCTCAGTGTCAAGCACAACAAAATCAACCGGGAAATAGAATTTGTCAACTTTGATAAGGATGTCCTCAACAATTCCCCTTGGTTGTTTTGTAGACTTATCGGCTAGTTGAATAATTACCGAAGTTGGCTTAAGGTTTCCCAAACCTAATTGAAGATACACGGAGTAAGGAATAACGTTAACACTAGCCCCTAAGTCAAGAAGAGCCCTTTTGACCTCATGGTTCCCTATGGTACAAGAGATGGTTAGCGCGCCGGGGTCTTTGAACTTAGGTGGGGTGTTAAGCTTAATGATAGAGTTCACTTGCTCCATGAGAAGCACTTTCTTTGGGCTTGGTCCCTTGTTTTTCCTCTTTTGAGTACACAAGTCCTTCAAGAACTTAGCATATGGTGGAATTTGTTGAATAGCATCAAGAAGAGGACAGTTGATTTTAATTTGTTTAAAAACTTCCATCATGTCATTGATTTTTCCTTTTTGTCTCGGAAATGGAGTAGAGTTTAAAGCTTGAGGAAATGGAGCTTTTGGCTCATAAGGCTTCTCTACATGGGAGGAAGATGATGATGATGGAATTGGCTCCTTAATGTGACCATTTGACTCTAGTGAAGTAGGGATGGAATTGGGAATGGTAAATGGGCAAACACTTGGTTGCACCGGAACACTAACTTCACTAGGTCTCTCAACTTTGTTATCAATTTTTCTCATACTCCTCAAGGTGGAAATGGAGTATGCCTTTTGATTAAGCATGGGTTGCATAGGCCCTTTCCTTTTCATTGATTGAACCATTTGCCCAATTTGGGCTTCAAGTTTTGCAATTAATTGAGAATGCGAATGAAATACTTGATTTTCCTTTCGAAGATCACTTAAAGCTTCCAAAACCTTGTCCTTAAAAGTGGAATTTCTAGGAGGCTCTTGAGGTGGATGAGAGTAAGATTGATGATTTGAAGATTGAGAATTGGAGAAATGATTCACATTTGAAGAAGGATAAGATAGAGAGTGGTATGCTTGAGACTTTGCAATTCGGAGGTGGGGAGGTACATACTTTTCTTGAGAATTTTTATGAAGAGGAGGAATGATACCTCTTCCTTGATTTCTCCAAGAGAAGTGAGGATCATTCCATCCGGAATTGTAAGTGTTAGAATTTGGATTACTTCCTGGATGAATGAAAATAACATTGACTTATTCTTGATACTTACTCAGAAAAACTTGTCCAAGAGGACAATTGAAAGTATTGTGAATATAACTAGAGCAAGTCATGCACATCACACTTTGAGAATGGAAAGAGTCAGATGATTGAATTGCCGGGTTTTGGCTCGAAATAAATTTATTAAACCTTTGAGTAAGATTATTGATTTCAGCGGTAATTTCCATGGAACTCTCCACTTGAGAAAGACTGGAGGTTTTCTTCCCTCCTTCATTCAAATTTTGGCCAAATCAGAATGATGGAGAATGACGCATTGAATTTTCGCTCATGCGATCAAAAAGATGCCACACATCGTCTTCATTTTTGTCCAAATAGGCTCCTCCACATGAAGCATCAACCATACCTTTTTGGGTATCGGATAAGCTTTCATAGAAACAACGCACTAATTGCCACTTTGGAATGTCGTGATGTGGACACTTCCGTAGCAAATCATTCAAACGCTCCCATGTTTCATGTAAAGGTTCTCCCATGCTTTGGGAGAATTCAAGGATAGAAGCTCTCATAGCATCGGTTCTACTTGCGGGGTAAAATTTGTTTAGGAATTCATATTGTAGTTGAGCCCAAGATGTGATTGAATTTGCCCTCAAGTTATTAAACCAATATTTAGCCTTTTCCCGAAGAGTGAAAGGGAAAAACTTTATTTTTAAGACTTCTTCCGGAAGATCCGTGATTTTCACGGTTGAACAAACTTCCAAAAACTCATCCACATGTTTATGTGGTTCTTCATTGCTCACCCCATAGAAAATAGGGCACATTTGGATGGTTGCAGGCTTGATTTCATAATGGGTTGCCGAAAGTTTGGCAACCGGATGCATGTTTGTGCATTGTATTCATTTAGAGTGTAGTAATCCCGAAGAGATAATTGAGGATTTGGGGAATACACTACATGATCTTGAGGATGGATTGGTATTATTGGAGGTTGTTGCATTTGATTGGGTTGTGGAAACACAATAGGATGGGGAATTTCCGAGGGTGGATGCACACCTTGAGGTGGATGCCCATTAAGAGGGTGATACTCTCCTAGATTATCCATATTCCCTAGATCTTAGAATTGGTTTTCCATTAAGTGTGGGATAGTCAAGAATGGGAATAATTCTCCTAGAACTACCTCCTAACGCCGAATGGATGATTCAAGATTAAACCACAATAACTTCACAATAAACCACAACAACAATCAACAACAATTCACCACCTCTACATACGATGTTCCCATACTTCCATGGTATATAAATGCACAAAATTAAATTGCCTCCACACGGACCAATGCTTTCTATCAAGAGAGTAATAGCCTCCTGTTGGGCTTATGCTTGGACAAGAATTTAAACAATGTGATAGCCTCGACAAGGGCTATCTCGCAAGCATGTAGAGAATTGAACAATTATAGTAAAAGAAACTCAAGGAAGCTCACGAAAGTCCCTAGCAATAACGTCACAATGGTGCCAAAATTCAATGCTTGCTCCTCTTCTTTTCAAGTACCTAATTGAACAAAAGGGATTTGTAAGAAAATAGTAATTTAAAGAAAACGATCAAATTAGCCCTAATGCCTAATTCATTCCTAACTAAACCGTCAATCCCGGTAACGACGCCAAAATTTTGATGAGACTCGAGCGTGTGCACAAAATAATGCACAACACTTTAGGTTTAGAAATAATGTCAGGTGGGCATCATATTTTAAAATTTATAAAACCACTAAACACTTATACTATGGAGTATAAAGCGAGTAGGGATCGTCCCAAGGGATTGAATACCTGTTAGGATTAAACTTGGTTTTAAAGTTAATTAGATTGTGAAAGAAAGAAATAGAAAGAAACAGTTTGAGAGAAAAATATTTTGGTGAAATAATTAAACTAGAGTTCAATTGAAAGTATGGAAACGAAAATGACAATGCAAGTAAATTAAATTAAATTAAATTAAGAATTAAAAAGATAGGAAGATAGTCTTGGGATAAGGGGTGAGGACACATTGCAGATATGTATTTTGAGTCGGCAGAAAGTGCATTGTTTTCAAAGCTAATCCTACATCTTTAGTTTAGCTTCCATGAAGCCGAGAGTCCCCTTTAACATGAGCTTGGTGAGTGCCATTGGCATACCCATCTTTGCAATGTCCCAAATAAGGACCACAATGATTAGGGTTGCCAAGAAATGAAGTGTAATTCAAGTATCTAAATTGACCAGTGTCAGAACTAATCCAGATAGATTGTTATACGAAAAATCTACTGTAGTCAGGCTTTGCATATCAGCTATGGATGATGGAATGCTTCCAACCAAGTGATTTCGTGACAAATTCAAGTAATTCAGGATCCTCAAACCTGTGATTTCAGTAGGAATTTCGCCCGAGAGCTGATTCCGACTAAGATCAACTAATGTCAGCAGCTTGCATTGGCTCATCTCCGGCGCGATCTCACCAGAGAAGCCGTTATGACTAAAATCCATCTTTGAAAGCTGCTGCAAACGCCCAATTTGGGACGGAATGCGGCCCGTGAAGTTTCTGATGCTCGGCGGCAACGAGCCGGTGAGCTGATTGTTGGAGAGACTAATCTGCCCGAGATTGACAGCTATTGAATCTGTTTCTGGAAACCCTCCAGAGAGAAAATTGTCTTGAAGGTCAACTTGAACTAGTTTAGGCAAGCTAAACAGACCCTTTGGAATCGACCCATTGAGATAGTTCTCTCCCATTTGAATCCGAGTCAGTGACTCGCACTGGCCAAGCGATTCCGGAATCGGACCGAACAAGAAATTGGTGAGAGTGATTAAGATTTGGAGAAGATTACCAGAGCACATGAATGGCGGCAAATTTCCGGTCAATTTGTTCGACGAAAGGTCGAGAAGCTGAAGCTTCCCGTTCGTCCCCAAACCTTGGGGTATACTTCCGGTAAGTTGTTTTCCCAAAGCTGTAACACCTCCAGCTCCGGCAGATCTCCGATGAACTCGGGTATCGAACCGTGAAGCTTGTTTCGGAACAGATTGAGAAAGGTCAAGTTCTTCAGATCGGCGAATGATGCCGGTATTTCGCCGGAGAAGACGTTGTTAGACAAATCAATATATTTCAAGCTCTTCAATTGGCCAAGCTCAGTCGTCAACTGTCCTGACAGTCCATTCACCTATAGAAATAGTGTATCCAAGTTTTGAAGCTGTCCGATTTCCGGGGGAATCTCACCGGACAATCCACAGTTCGCGGCGTCGAATCGAACGAGTCTAGACAAGTTTCCAATAGCCGACGGTAGGCCTCCGGTAAAGGCGTTGTAGTAACCGATATACAGCTGTTGAAGCATCGATAAGTTGCCGATTTCCGGAGGAATCACGCCGACAAGTTCATTGCCGGAGATTGCTAGATATTCCAGCACCGGGAATCGTCCGTACTCCGGCGGGATGCTTCCCGTGAAGTAGTTGCCGCCGAGGTGAAGATGCCGGGGACCCGACATTTCGGATATCGCCACGGGGAGGTCTCCGGTCATATTGTTGTTGTAGAGGTCGAGCACTTGGAGGTTTTTGAGTCGAGCGAGTTGACTCGGGAACGTTCCATTGAAGATATTGTTGGAGAGGTTGAGATATCGAAGGCCGGAGATGAGAGAGACCTCCGGTGGGATAGGGCCGGAGAACAGATTGGCGGCGAGGTTGAGGTTGAGGAGGTAGCGGAGGTGACCCACGTCGGAGGCGAGGACGCCGTAGAGATTGAGCCCGGAGAGGTTGAGAGCGGTAACGTAACGGCTGCCCACTTGCAGTGACTGGTTGAAATATTTCACGACGAGAGAGACGATTGTGGGTCGCCTTTCAGGGAGAGCAGAGCGCGGTATTCCGGTACGAATGGTGGTTTAGCGGCGAGTGAACGTGGAGGTTTAATAGGAGGAGAAGAATGTGAAGGAATAGCATTGTTTTGGGATTTTTACACACTCTGCTATTGTTTTTAGAGAGAGAAAGTAGGGAGAAAGGTAAAAGAAGAGGAATGGTGGGAGAAGGGGTAGGGAGGAGGCGTGGTTTTATTCTCTCTTTTTTTTTGTTTTAAATATAATTTGGAAAAGGAAAGGGTATTAAAGAAATTTTACTACTTCTCTATTTGGTTCTAGTTTGATAATCCAGGGAAAGTGTTAATATCCAACTTTCAATAAAAGTTTGTGGGAGTGCCAAAAAAAAGAAAAAAAAAAGAAAAAAAAAAAAACCACACTATTCACTTTGTTGTAAATATCCCTGAACTAGAAAAGGTGCAAATACTCCCTAAGATTCACGGGATCAATTTTTTCGATAACCTTACTTATTAAATTATATAAAAAAGGAAAAAAAAAAAAAGCCTAATTGTAAAATACCAAATTTTCCCTACTGTTAAGTTGCCCTAAATTATCATTTTGCCGATTATGTTAGAGAGAGACGTACAGAGAGTTAGAGACAGATGGAGGCGCAGATTCAAACTTAGGGTTTCATTTCGTGGATTAAAGAGTTTCTTCGTGTTCTTGTTCTGTTCAATTGTGCGTGACATCGTGTTCTCATTCTGTTCAATTGTGCGTTACATCGTGTGGTATTTCCTGTCTGTCGTTTTCAAGATCTTTGGTTTGCTTTTATAAGTTCTCCAAATTTGTAAGTGTAGATTATGTTCTATGGCTTTAAATGAATCTTATTTTTCATTTTGCATGTTAAAGGTTTATATTTTTTGGTTAATTACTGCGAATCATATATTCAATTTCTAGGGTTTGTGAGAATCTGTTTTGACCTATTGTAAAGATCATTTTTTTTTTGTAGATATAATACATATGCATGCAGTCAATGTGTGACGGCCCAAGTTTTTCAACCTGGTGCGTCAATGATGAACCGAAAGATGATCCGATAACGGATCCGAAATGCGGAAACAAAAGATAAAACAACGGTCTCTAGAGATATAACATGACTCTAAGATGCCAATGTGACACTCAATGAGGTCACGGAACTTAAAGGAAACAAATGAGGAAGCAATGTTTCAAAAACGAACAAGAATGAACCTAGGGGAAAAAAACATCATTTTCAGCTTAAAAGTGGGTGCCACTGAGCACACCATTGGAAAGATAACGAAAAATTAGTGAACTTAGACTCAAAAATCACTTGATTCGGAGTCCGGATGAAGAAGATATGGCTAACGAAAGAATCAGGGACAAAACGGTCAAAAAGTACCAACCCAAGAACATCTAACCGGTTAGATGACCTATCTAACCGGTTAGAAGGCCAAAAAACTCGACCAAAACACTACCCACACTCATCCAACCGGTTATGAAACCCCATCTAACCGTTTAGATGTGAAGGAGGCAGAATGGGCAGCAAGAAATCCTGGCAGCAGGGGTTTTTCCGAAAAAAAATGGAAATTTGAGGGCCTATATGACATTTTCTGGAAAAACACAAAGAAGAAATCCCCCTCAAAATTGAGTTTTCTACATGGCTTTAAGAGTTTTCTACATGGTTTTTTACACTGTGAAATGCCCAAAATGCCCTCCTAAGAAATCTGGTCCAGATGGTCCAAAAAGCTGTTAAATGAAAAACAGAAAGTTGAACTTCGGGAATAATTTCCGATGCCAAGACGACATTTTCAAGAAAAGCACGAAGAAGAAACCCCCCCCCTAAAATCACATTTTCTAAGTGAGCGTGTGGAGACCGGAATTTATTTTCCAAAGGAAATTCCCAAAATACCCTTAGGTCAGAATATGCAACAAAAGTGTAAAATGAGTCCGTAAGAGGCTCATTTCACCAAAGAAGAAGTTTTGCCAGGAAACGACCATGCACGTAAACGTAACTTACCTAATAAGATGTGCTACAATGGTCCATGGCTCAAAAATATGGCCGATACAAAATATGACCCCCCAACGGCTAAAATGCCAAAAACGAAGTTTGGAATGAAAACTTGGAATTCAAAATCATGAAATGGTTTCAAATGCTAATGGATGTGTTTCATACATGATGAACGAATGCTAATGGATGTGTTTCATACACAATGCACACCCCGGTGCAAAATAGCATACTAAAACGCATGATTTTTCATATATTCTCATTAAGACAAAAATTAATATCCATGATATAAAACTGATTCCAACAGAAGTTTGGCCCTTGGCCTCATGTCATAAACATAAAATGAGAATCAAAAGTGTGCTTAGGCACACATTACAAGTTTAGAATCAAATATGCACATTTGAAAAATAAGGTTACATATGGCATTTCAAGCCAACATTCACTAAAATAGAAATCTTCAAGTCCACAAACCATCCAAGCATAATGGAAATCTCAACTTGATTCCTGTACTTGAAAATATGCCCCAGTAATTTTGGGGTGAGCAACTTAAAGCTACTCGTAGGAAATGAGCATGCATCGGTCTACGTTTTACAATTTTGTCACCTTAAGGTAAAACATGTTAAAGGGCTCATGCCACCTAACGTCTACATCAAAGTGAGACTCAGGGATCATTCTAAGCTACTCATGCAATTGAAATGAACAACGTCATACAAGTATACATGCTCAAGTACACTAAGTCATGTTAAACAAGTTATGCTTTGTCTAAGCATGCATATATGATTGACGGATCGATTATCAATTATAAATCAACCCATTTGCAATAGCATAAATCATTGTAAAATAGGGCTATTGGTCGGGTAAGTCGAACCACTAGGATTGCTAGTCTATGGCAAACTAAGTATCTAGAATATTTTTAGAATGATAAGGAGGTTTATAGAGGATTTGTTGGATTGTCACTAAAACTAAGAATGTAAATTGCATAAAACAAAAGTTTGCGAGAATTAAAAGAGATAAATTACCAGTAAAGAAAACTAGGGAAGTGAATCTGCTTCCATCCCTATACACATGCTAGATTAGAACTACTTTGGGGGAAAAACAATATATAATGGTTAAAAATTATATAGCAACACATGGTTGCCATATAATTAACAAGAAGTACATCGAATCACAAAACAGAATAATCCATCAAAGGTGAATATGTTTAGACTACCTAAACTAGAGTACAGCTTAAACCTACTTACTTAAATGAAAGATTATCAAGCCCTTGATAAAATGATGAAGTACATGAAGCTAGAGATTAAGCATAAACCATTAAAGGGATTACCTAAGCAATGGCTTATTAAAGATATCTACCAACATGCCATTAAACTATTTCATAACCTTATTTCCATTGTGACCATGAAAACATAAGCAATATGATTAATGTAAGACATTATCTATAACAAGATAATCAACTTAGAAAAATCATTCATATACATCAACATCCATTACAACAAATGAAATGCTCTTGATCATGAAAAGACCATAGATTATACATTGTAATCCCCAAAATAGAATTAAGCTAGAACATGCTTACAAGGGAGGGCTTCATCACCTCCCTAGAGGAAGAGTTAGTTACCCATGGATGCCCTAGAAGAAGGAAGAAGCTTGGATCCAACCCCTATTTTAGAGCTCCCCTTTTTAGCCACACAAA